TCGTTCAAGAAGATTTCGTACAAATTGATCTGGTCTCACGGTTTCTTTCCTTCTGTTTATCCGTGCTGCTCACTTTCTCCAGTTCGTTGTCAAGTGTCACCTTTTTCGTCGAAAAACGAGTTCACTGTATGCAGTCACCGGCAATCGTGTTAGCAGAAGACTGATCGAATGGGAATAGTTGCAGAATCTAAGGGTAGTAAGAAAGACAGATGCGAATGGAATGAGATAGGATTGGCCGGAACAAGGGGTGCTTCAGGACCGCTCGAGACCAGAGAAAAGGCTTGGAGAGAGAGAGTGAGAGTGAATGAAAAAGAGTGGAGAGAAAGAGAGAAGAAGAGATGGGGTAAAGAGAGGCAAGCGACCATAGAACGAGACGCAGAAAAAGGGAGCGTGAACACTCACCGTGGTTGCTTTTTCTGGATCGCTTCTTGCGCAGCTCCTTGCGATCCGCGGCCAATCCTAATTCCAAAAGCTTCTCCTTGATCTTTGGCTTCGACCGCTTTATTGTGAGCCCATTGAAGATCAGCTCCACGGGATCTGTTGTACACAACATAAACCGTATCGGCATTAATTCGACGTTTAAAGGGATGAAATGTTGATTCAATACGAGATTGAAAAATTCCGTGCATCAAGTCAAAGGGAAGGAATTAAATCAGGAAAATTACGCAGAATCTTTGTAGAAGTGAGCGACAGTGTTTGTTTGTGGGATTTTAAGGTAGTGGTGCTGTAATGCTTGGTGAAAAGTAGAAGATTCTAATTGATTGGATTTAGTATCGTAGAGCCAGACTAACTCCAATTTTTCTATTTTCTATTATAAACATTGCGTGAAATTAAAATTAAAAATTTACACACTGTGAGAAAAATTTTTTTTTGTTTTTACATTCAAAATTGTGTTATGTACACCATTTATTGGAGCCACAGGGAACTAATTTATATTGCATAATAAATAAAAAATAATTTTTGCTAATGATAGGATTTGAAATAATTTTGTTTGAATTACTTCGAAGTACAGTGTTGTTTTATGTGTGATCACTGATACTTTTTTGTTCTGCTGTAAAATTACTATGCAGGGTGAGTCTGGCTCTGATATACAGATAATATTAACAGAATATTGAACATTCAGAATTTTGTTTTTGGTTTCGTTTGTTCTTCTGAATTTACGAATATAATAGACGATTGCCTTTTTATTTGGAAATTTTCTTCCTTTGTAAAACATTAGACACCTGCGCCCTTATCAATAACAGCTCAATCATTCCCATTGAATTTTTCAAAGCTTCACTATTTTCACGTATTCAAAAATTCCACTACTTTTAAATCAAAAACAAATAACAAATTCACTAATAAAAGTAAACTAAAAATATCAATCCTAAACTCCGTTTCTTAATCAATACTACAATTTTCTCATTACTCACTAACATCACAATTCTTTCATCGATATTAATGTTTGTAGCGTGGAAAAAAATTGCACGCACAACGTTATACACAAAGTTATTCCGCTAATATTTCATTATGATGAAAAGTTTTACCCGACAACTGTGTAAATGAAACTCAAGAGTATCACGAAAGTTGCGCTTAAGATAAGAAACAATATTCTGAAAGCTTGAAGAGAGTAAGGCTACGAAGTTGATACTGTACTTTTTGGAAATTTTCGTGGAGCTCACGGCGGCGTGAGTGTAATTTTAGGCATTAAAATCATGGGAGGGGAGCGGAGTCAGCGTACGAAAATGGAGCAAGTTTTACAAGACTTCTGAAAATCTTTCTGCCAGGAAGGATATTATTCTTCGTCCTTACTGACGGAGTCCGAATTATTGCTACAGGCGGCAGCCGGTCGTCACCGATGTTCGGCGCTTAATTAAATCTTGAGAATCGTCGCAGGTGCTAATGAATTCCCAAGCGAGCATTCGCAAAATACTTCGACTGTTTCTATTCCCGGCCAGCCAGCGCTATCGTGCGCATTCTCGTATAAATTATATCGTTTCTCTGAGGTGTTCATCACTTATGAGACTAATTGGCAAACGTTTATAGAAAATGGAAAATTACCGTCGTCATTTTTTAGTTCTTCCCAAAGCTCTTTGAGCCGAGCAACCTCCTCTTCGGACCATTCTTGCGGAAGCCTTTTCAGCACCTCGCTTCGTACAGCCTGAAACAATTTTTATAACAAAATATTGTTATATTATTCCTTCTGGAAGGATTTTAGCTGAAAAGTTTTACGACGATTATGAAATAGGTAAAATTTCTGTTAAAAAATGATTTATGTATAGATTTTTGATAATTGATTTATTGTTAGTGCTAAAATATTAGCAGTAGCAATGTATTTCATTAATTCGAACTGGTATGGAAAATAGTTACATTATTAGGTTGTAATTAACTAAATGCTTCATTTTTCATTCATTTGAAATTTTTTGTATCATTTTTTTAGCAGTCACTAGTTTTCAGAAGACAAGGAATATTTGTTTAATATGTAATTTATTGTAATCGTGGAAGAAGCAAAGAATTTTAGGGGAGAATAATTTGTTTCTTAATTATGAAGAATAATAAATTAACAATTAAAATATTATAGTTTTAAGTTGGAGTCTTTTTTCGATTTATAATAGTGAATAGAAATATGAAACTCTGCAAGGCTGCTGATAATAATTACGATAATACTAGTTATCAGAAACCTTTTCTGGAAAAGCAATTGAACCTTTCTTCTTGTACCTCCTTCGTTTTATTTTACTCTAGTGCATTACAATAGTTGTAAATGTTGATTGGAAAAATAAAAATTTTGTAATATTTCAAATTTAAATTGAAATATTTCAAACTTAAATTTAAATAATTTAAGTACTCCAAATTTAAATTATTTAAACTTAAATTTCACAAATTTTATCAAATAAAAAATAAACTTTTATTCTTCTATGTTTTGATATTGCACGTTAGACGCTTGACATTTTCGCAAGTAACACGATTATTCTAACAGTTCAATACAGTGAGCAAAACTATATAAAGGGTGTGAATGAAAAATTAGATATTACATATCTCTTTCCAAAGCAGAATCGCTTATTTCACAAAAAGTGTGTATCCAGACAAATTTTTCAAACTTGGAGTACTACGTATCCCCTCGACGAAGATAATAAAGCTGTGCCTGTTCGATAAGGCCGCCGTTGTATATTCGTAACGTATTCCGAAACAACGTTACCGGGCTATTTATCGTGCAAATGAGGTCTCGGAGAATGCCTGGTGTCTAATTCGTGATTCTAAGCCCTCCGTTTCCTTGAAAGGGGATAAAGGAGAAAAAATACGATGCTCGTTTTCCAACGATTACGTTTCACCCTCGACAGGGATTCTTGTTGGTTGTCCTAAATGGCCATCGCATAGCGACGCGCGACTTTACGGACTAAATGAATGTCAAATGAACAGCCGTAGTTTGCCCTCATTCAGTTTTGAGGGGCGAAAGGTATTCACGCATGAAATTATTTAAATGAAACGCTTTCACGACTGAGCCCCCATTTCATGAATTTTCTCCACGAATCAATAATATGTGTCGTCCCTTTTTCACTCGCTTCCCACTGTCTCTTGTTACTCGTTTGTGCGAGCTGATGTTTGGTCTACTATGAACCTCTACGTTCGACCCCTTTGCAATTCTGTGGAACTTTGCGTAGAAAGTTTCATTAATATGCAACAATAACTATAAGTAGGAAGGGATCTGTTCGATTTTAATTGTTTTATGAGATACACAGGTAAATTGAAATTTTCTTTGAAGTTATTAATTTATTGCGAATCAGGCGCGTTGCAGTGATACTGTGTAAATCTGGAATCGTAGTGTGTTAAATAAAATTATGTATTTCATATGTTTGTATAGGAATATATTGTAGTTATAATTATACAGAGATACGTTATTATTAATTTTCGCAGTCAAAGTGTTTTTTGAATTGGATGGTGGTTTTTATAGTAATTATAAG